AAAATTTAATATTTTTAATTAAAGTAGCTGAAGAAATAATTTTTATTTAATGGCGTTGCCATCTATCATGAAAATTAAATACATACATGAAACATAATCATGTTGTCATTTTATGTATAATTCTTTTGTAAAAAGGTTGCCACATAACTCACATAACTTCAAAGCGAAGAAAATTATAGTAATATGTTAAAAATAAGAGAAATATTAATATCGATAAAATTTTTAAAAATGATTTTTTAGGGTAGATTTTTGTAATTAAAGTTTTTATAAAGGGTTGTCACATATTTGAAACGTTTTTTTTTTAATAACGAATATTAACGTGTTTTGAGAAAAGTAAGCTTAATTTTTTTTTATATTTCTTCAGAAAATTATTTTCGTGACTTTGTCATCTAAATATAGAGTTTTTGCATTTTTTAGTTAAAAGGTTGCCATATAACTTTAAGGTGAAGACAAATTTAGTAATATGAAATTTGATAAAAATTTAATGAATACAATTTTTAAATTTTTTTTAACTAAACATTTGTAAAGGGTTGCCACATATTAGAAACAAGTGAAAAATACTTTAATATACTGAATATAAACTTGTTTTGAAATAAGTAAATTAATTTTTTTTAATTTGCTAGAAAAAATTTTTAGTGGCGTTGCCATCTATTTCGAAAAATATTTGAATCAAGTTATTATTATTAAATTGTTTTGTCTAMGAAATTTCATCGATACTAATACAAAGTCACATAGTGATTAAAAATATTTTGTATTATTGCAATTTTATGTTAAAAGGTTGCCACAKAAGTCGAAGTGAAAATAATGTAAGTTAGGTATATATATGTGATTAGTAATAGTTATATTTTTAATGCAAATTTTTTTAAAAGTRTSTTTTTACTTTTTAGGWCAGCTTTTTGTATTTAAAAAWTTTGAAARGTGTTGCCATATAGTATTTCAAACRRKTGAATATTTTRTAAAAAAGAACGTTTAAAATAAGTTGTTGAGGAGGTTCTAACAGCGATGCTTTATAATTTATAGAAAAATGTTTTTTTCCTGCAGAGTTGCCATATTTTTTTGGCTTAGTTAATAAAGCTTCTAAAATGTTAATTTTTAATATACAAATGTATACGTATATTTTTAGTGTTTTTTTTAACTTTTCAAATTTTTTTTTCAATCCTGTCAYGAAATTCTTTTCGAAATACCCTAMAAAAATAGTACGKGGMTCTAAACCTGACTTTTCCTTGAAATTCGCATTTTTTGGTATATACATATCTCGTAACTTGTAGGAAATTTTATTTGCTACAAAAAAGGTCCGAGGCCAAATCGCTATCATTAATACTTCTCGGAATATTCGGCTTTATAGAATTTTCATAGATGGTATGTAATAAAAAATCTAYGATCTTGTTTTATCACAAGTAATAATATTAGTCATACCATTTTATAAATGTCATTGTGGTRTGCTATTATCTTATGTGGATTGTTTTAAACAATCGAAAACACTGGAGTTGCCATATATTTAAAAAAACGTTTGAAAATAAACATGGTTTTTTATATAAATTGCATTCATTAAGTTCAGAGATATTTAATATCTCATTAAACTTTTTTTTTGGTGTTGCCACCTATTTTTATTAAACTTTTTTTTTTTAACAATTTCAATATTTCGCTTGATTTTCGCGTCAATTAAATCATTTTAGTAATAAGCAATTTATTAATATGTATACTAGCATTGTTTTTCAGTGGTGTTGCCACTTATTTGTTTGAAAAAATTTTTGGTTTTTTTTTTCTTTTTAACTCTTAATATTGTATCATTAAATTTTTTTTCAGTGGTGTTGCCACTTATTTTTCTTGCACTAATTTTTAATTTTTTTGCTAACACAATTTTAATCCTTTTGGCAAAGTTGGCCTTGCCTTTCTCATTTTTTTCTTACGCTTWGCAGCTCCAAAGCCCTTTTAGCACAATCGGCCTTGCTTTTTTGTTTTTTTCTTCGTTGGCAACCCCCAAAGGTTAAGCACACCCATGCATAGCGCTAATTGTGTGTGTGTGCATATGAAATGTCATATGTGCCAGCCGGTGCACCTGTTTGTAATTAGCTCGACTGGCTTGCCGCTTGCACGCCCCTTTTGTAATGCGCGCTGATTAATTAGTTTACAGAGTCATCATCATCAGCAGCATTGTCTGCGGGCCCCCTAACACGCTGAAATTTCCAACCACCTATAACCAGGTAATGTAATGCAGTGCTATGTAATTGTAGTTCACACGCATRTTACACATACTAATGCAAGGCTGATTGTCTGTTTGACTACGCATAATGTTTAACCAACTGGCAGGCAGTCAAGCATCAGTCATGTGCCATACACTGCAGGCGCAGCACATACAAATGTTTAGCTGTGTGGGTTTACCTATATACGTATGTATGTGTAAAGCACAGTTATACACAGCTCCCTGGTTTGCTAACAATCATAATGCGCACTAGGGAATACTAAATGATTATATGCGTGTGTTTAAGTGCCACGGCTAAGCATTAGTGCGGCATTAATGCAGCATAGTGTGTATGTGTGTATGCGTGTGGCTTGTGCCGGTGGCCCCTGTGCATATTTATGACCTCTAATTGCGGTTTGCCTGCCAATGCGGTATTCTATGGACTCAATTGAGCCTATCATCGCRGCTGCTTTGTTCTAACTAACTAATACATACATACATACATATATAATAGTATGTACATATATTTAGTAGTACCGCTATTGCTCAATTCTATAACAATTTGTTTGAAATGAATTTGACGTAATTTTTCATTTGTATTCACATTGATTGTCTGCGTCTAAGTTGCTCCAGCTCTGTTCGGTGCTAATTTCAATTAAAAGTGCTCATTAGCGAGCTCATTTCATTGGCAGCTGTTTTGTTGGAATGACAATGAAATTGGCGTAAAGCTGAATTCGAAATCTCGCGTGTGCTGSTGAAAGGCAAATAATTTTGACAAACAATGAAATTATGATAATTGCGAGAAAGCTGGCATATTTCCCGCTGTCTAACAAAGCTTAKAAGTAATTTTTAGTCAAATTAGTTTGTAATACATTTCGAACTTTGGTCGAAAAAGTAATGATATCTTGCCATTGTGTCCGCTTAAAATCGAGATTATATGACTTTAAGAGATATGCATCAGTTATTATCATTCGTTTTYGAAAATGTTGTAGAAAATTGCAATAAGTTAGAATTTTTATCAGCACCATCTGTTKGACACATTTTTATTTACGCTTCTCTTGGCAAAAATATCACCGGAACATGTAGGTAGTATKAGCAAACTTAAAACGAAAGTTCTATAGCAATCTATCAATTCGACTTATCGATGGAGTTTTGTTGAAAAGTTATTCAAAATAAAAAATTATTCAAAATATCGTATATATTGTCACAAAGAATGCAAAAGAACTTATCTTCACAAAAAAAAAAAACTGAGTTTTTTATTCCCTACGATTCGCTAAATCATTTTACATATGTGCGTACATAAAGTTTTAGGCTTCAGCTACAATTATAACCAATATATAAC